CCAGTGGTCAGACTGTGAACTAACACTATTACATTGAACTATTAAAAAGACTTCGTGAAAAAATTAGGAAAAGAAGGCCACAGTTGTGAAGCGATGGATAGCTGTTGCTCCGGGACAAAGCACCCGCTCACACGGCACTATCTGTCAAGCAGTTTCTGACCAGCAAAATTATTATTGTGATAGGGAATCCTCCTTATTCGCCTGATTTGGCTTCATGCGACGGACAATGCATCTGCTCACACGGCACTGTCTGCCAAGCAATTTCTGCCCAGTAAAAATATTACTGTGATGGGGCATCCACCTTATTCACCTGATTTGGCTCCATGCGACTTTTTTCTATTTCCTAAAGTTAAATTTTGCTTAATGGGAACCCATTTCACCTCAGTTATAGAGGTTCAGGCAGAAACGGAGAATCTCCTGAAGGGACTTCCAAAAACCTCGTTCCAGAACTGTTACCAACAATTGCAGCACCGAATGCAAAAGCGTGTGAATGCTGAAGAGGACTACTTTGAAGGTGATAATGTCACGGAGAACTGATTCTGCAGGTATAATGACTTATTGGACTAGTCTCGTTACTTTTATGTCACACCTCGTACTCTGTAACATAATCTATGTATACATATGTATGTAAGAGTAATATGTAGGATTTTATAATATAAAATAGTAATAGTAATAAAAAGAATTTGTCTATATGCTCTAACATGTAAGTATTCTGTAACATGCTCTATACAAATGAGTAATAGTTAGCATAAGTTGTTATTATTTTTCTATTACCTACTATTGCAAAGTCTGAATAATCCCAAAAAGCAGAAGCTTTTATAAAGATAAGTACAATGAAAATTCCAGATTTGTGTTAAAATATATCCTGCTTTATTTTTGTACGCCGAGAATGTAGTACATGCAGAAAAATATTTTACAACATTGGATTTCATATAAAAGCTAGTGACATTAGATTAACACGTGACCATATTTTAACGAGTCACTCACGCTTCAAATATGAAAAATCTTACATGATTTTCTAATTCGCTACAGTTTGCAGTTTAAGTCCAATTTGTGCGATTAAGGATTGGTGACTACAAAATAACATAATAGTCCAACGTTTTTCATGTTTCAATATTGGCATTTTACAATTATAAGGTAATGGGTTGAAAGAATTCAGTGTTTCTAACCAAAAGTTCTTCATTCACGAGGATTTCACATCAGGACTATTCATCGCGAACGGTGGTTTAGAATTCGTATCCAAATAATAAATTCCCTGAGCATTGTAGTCCGGTGTGACACCACCCATATAAACAGATTGATTTGAGTCGCATAAACCGACCATATAAAACATATAATTTTCGCACTTTCGTGCTATGAATCCCTTGGTATTTACAGATTCAGCAAAGACCTCGTAAGCTCGAAAATGAGAGCAGTATCCTCGAAGCTCGCAACCAGGTTGATTCCTTCCACCGTGGACATAAAAGTCAGCATGACCGAGTGGATCAAACAAACCGTAGAGAATTGAAGTGTGAATTACTTGCACATAGGTAGCATCATCTTTGGAAAGTCTCGTTCCTTTGCCTTCCAGGTAAAAATTTGGACCGGCGGGATCCAAACCTGAAACAGACACATCAATTTCAGGGAAAGTTTATTGAAATACGTAGTTCTAGAAAAGATGATGTAGTGACTCTTATTAATATTCGGACATTATAGTTTTTTATGGCTTACTACTCTGTGCAAAGTAGCGTCAGTTACTACTAGCATCAGTTAAGTTCAGTTAAGTCAGCAGCGACTTACGAAAGGAAAAATCGGAAAGTGTTTTAGAGAGCATTTATGTTTTGCTCATAAGTGGTGTCAGTAGTCTTGTTCATAAGTTGTCGATGTTTTGGGTTCCTTGCCTGTACATGTTTATCGTTAGAAAAAGAGAGCGAGAAAGGTAATAAACAATTTTCTTTGAGAACTTTGAGGAGATTTGGAAACTTAGGAATTTGGCAATACAAAGATTTGGGGATTTAGCGATTTGCGGGTTTAAGGATCTGAGGATTTTAAGATTTGAAGGTGTTAGGATGTAGGGATTTGGGATTTAGAGATTTGGGGGATGTAGAGATTTGGAGATGTAGGGATTTGGGAATATAGGGATCTGAGAATGTAGGTATTTGTAGATGTAAGGATATGGGGATGTAGAGATTTGAGAATTTGGGAATTTGGGAATTTGAGGATATACATATCTATGGATCAAGGGATTTGGGGACGTAGGAATTGGGGGATGTAGAGAATTGGCGGTGTAGAAATTTGGGAATTTAGGGATTTAAGAATATAGGCATTTATGGATGTAGAGATTTGGAGATAGAGGAATGTGGGGATGTAGGAATCTACATATGCAGGTTTAGAAATGCAGAAATTTGAGGATGTGGGAATTTGGAGATGTAGGAATTTGAAGATGTAGCAATGTAAGGAAATAGGAATTTGGAGATGTAGCAATTGGAAGATTTAGAGAATTGGGGATGCAGGAATTTAGGAGTTCAGAAATTTGTAAATCTAAGCATTTGGATATGTAGGCAGGAAATGGAAATGTGAAGATAAGGATTTGACGATATAGGAATTTGGAAATTTAACGACTTGGAGATCTAGAAATTTCTAGAATCCTGTTATACAAATATATGTATAATTTAATAATCTATAGGAATCACTCTACCTTTGGTAATGTTTGAACACTTCGATTTAAGAGACGTGCTGCAGTATATGTATAACCTGTTCAGCCGGTATAGTTTATGGAAACAAATTTATTTATCCTAATTTAACGTGTACTCACCGACGACGTAATTCATCTTCTTCTTCGCATAGTAAGATGTAAGCCCAGCAAGGTGAGCGCCAAAAGAATGGCCAACTATTGTCGTAGTCGATGGATCCATTCCTTGCGATTCGAGAAAATCAATCATGCGAGTGGCATATTTTGCCACCTTCGCAACCTGTCTAGAAACCCAGAATGGTCCACCCGAGGCTATGACAGCCCAGTCGATTACGATAATATTGTAATCACCGTGTTTATTATATGCTGAAAAAAGAGAATTAACGAATGAGTGTGAATTTAAGAAATGCGTAAAGTAACATACCTTCACGAATGTAGGTGCAAACTGGGCTTTGATAAGAGTTCGCCAGTCCATGGGTGATAAATACCGTCGGTTTTTTAACATCAAATGGACTGTTTTTTAAGGTCTGAATGTCGTTAACGTATAATCGTACAAAATCGTCTCTGCTATATTTCGTGTAAAGGTAAAACAAGATGGTATTCGGATAATTGGATTCACTTGTGTTTCGGTGGCTATCGAATATGACTAACTGGTCTTTGACGTAATTATTGTAGGAGTCCGGAAAGTAAATGTCCACGGAGAGACCAAACCCGAGAAAACTATCACCAGAAACATCTGCAATTTATATTTATTCTATTGAATTTGAAAAACAGATTTAATTTAAGATCAGAAGCAATGATAATAATGTCGAAAAAATAAATTTAAATTTTAAGATAGAATGCCTAGATTTTGTTTAGAAGCAATAAGTCTTTCTATATTTATATATATAATTTAATTATTACTCAGTAATGTAAATTTTGTGTAAATAAATGAGTTGAGGAATTCCTATTAATTTTCAATTTGGGATCTGAATGAAAATAAGTATGTTTCAATGTGGACGTATAATGTGTATAAAACGTTGAAATATAATAAACTTCTAACAAAAAAATTAGAAATTCACTTTTAAAAGATGAAATAAATTTTTTAATTTTAAAGGATGTTTTACTTCGATGATTATGTACCTACCCATAATAGCACCAAGAAATAACAAGACAAGTTGAACATGTACTTTCATGTTTGTTGCTGGATCAAGCCAGTCTTCTGCAAGATAATATTCTGTCTCAAATGCAAAATAAAGTGTTAAATTCATATTTAATAGACTAATAATCAAGAGGTTTACATTTTACGCGGTTGTTTGTTACGGAATACTAAATTTGACAAGTTTGCAAATTTGTTAACCAATTTTTTAACTCTTTGACGCGATTATTGATAGATCTGCACAAACGCTAATTGCTGTTAAGAAATTAGGGACTTTGCAGCGTTCATTGAGTAAAGTTTTAAATGCAATTTTAAACGTTTCAAATTTAATTTTAAACCGTTTCTATACGTTTCACAATCAATTAGAATCGTTCTTTGAACGTATCAAGTATAATTTCAATCGTTTTCTAATTGTTCCAAATAGAATCTCTAATTATTGAAATACAATTAAAACCCGTTTTCTACATGTTTCAAATACAAGGACCTATTCTACAAGTCGAAAGTAATATACAAAATTCCAAGATTTAAAATGTACAATATGTTTGATCAGTATTAAAACATTTTCACAAAATATTATTTTTAACGACGCAACATAACATTCAATTTATACGAAGCCGAAATATCCATGTCTGCTTAATAACTTCAATCCTTCTATTCTGACATATTACATAAATTTGCAATAATTGAACAACTTGAAATAGGCACACTACATATTAACAATAAACGAATAGCTCCAAGTGTCACATCTTTACTTACTTGTTACCGTTCCTCGAATTCAATGTCGACTAGTACTGACTCTTATAATTTTGTCGTAAATATGATGATGCACTTATACCAACAGTCTAAATGCTTACTATTATCACCATAAATATTTCACACTTTCATGAAATGCTATTTTACACAATAAATAATTACCCAACGAATGACAGATAAGCAAAATTGCATTATGGAAATATGGTTGAAGTGTTAAAATTATTAGAACATTAAAGAGTAATATTCAACAAAAAGGGCGATTTAGTGCTTTCTTAGAAAAGAATACTGAAGTGTGTACAATACACAAGTATGTACAATATTTAATGATTTGTCTCGCGTTATAGAGTACGCCATTTTCAAATCTCGTATGAGCGCAAAATGGAGCGTATACATCAACAAAATGGAGTGTCTAAATAGCTATAAGTAGAGGTTAGAATAATGAGCAAGTAGAATTTTTGTTTTTCAATGTATTTCATTTATTATCCATTTACTATTGAAACTTTAATACAATTTTTCGAAGAAACGAGTTCAAACCCATTTTAGACTTTTTATTTATTTGATGAGTACCTAATATTTTACAAGTTCATCGATCCGAAGTAGCGCTGGTAAATCATTTTCAAGAACCTGCGCAGCCTACTTGATTATCAAAATCTAATTATAATCGATCCGATAAAGAAATTAGTACACTTTACTATTTCGTCCTAACAAGTTTGCACAGAAAATATACATTAGTAATTAGGCTTATACAAGGAAAAAAGTTAGCTTTATCTTTTCTGAGACGCTAGAAATTTAGTAGCTACAATACGATTTCATAATTTTCATATTCAACAGTGAATATTTTTTTTTTATCTTTCTGCTTTGCTATTATTGTTATATGTACGTGGACATTCTATGTAATACTAGAAAATAAATATGTAGTAATAATATAACTACGGCCTGTGTGACGCGTAACAGCATGTCACGGTTTAGTAACACATAAAATTTAACGAAGTAATAATAAGAATTATAAGTATTACCTAATTAATTATAAGTAATTACAAATTACTCTTGTTAAATAATAGGACGTGATATTCCTTGTAATATCCCTATTCGTTATTCGTGTATTCAAATCCAAACAAATATATTCTTAACTAGTAAATTTCATAACAATATTAAAGTAATGATCTTAAAAAATTCAAAAACAAACTTTCTCAAATAAATAAAAAAAAGAAATTTCTTTTCTACAACATCTGTCAGAATAATTAAAACTCTACTATGAATATTCTATATATAACATGTAATTATAAACAAAAGGCTAAAAAAACAAATAAATAAAATAAACAAAGTCTAATTGGAGCCATAGCTCTTCTAAACACTTAAACCTCTTCACGCGCCACCTCGTGGGTTGACATCAGTAAATGACACATTATTCTAATAAGAAGAAATTAACGATGAAAAATAGGATGTGTCGTCAAAAAAGTAATAAAAGTTTCAGAATTTAAAATGCATTTTATTTCATTTTTTAAACCGAATAAAGAACATTATTTCACAATAGTATACAATAGTCAACAATGAATGTATTGAAAAGGTTCCATATTTGAATAATCAAACTTCTGTTGTATCATTCTTCAGTGCATCAGGATTATTCCTTGCAAACGGTGGTTTCGCATTCACGGTTAAATAATACGCTCCCTTAGCGTTATGGTCTAGTACAGCACCACCCATGTAAGCAACATCATTCGACTCGCATTTACCGAGTTCGTAATCAAAGAAGTTATTGCATCTTCGAGCCAAAAAACCTCCGCTCTTTACGGATTCGGCGAAGTACTCGTAGGCTCGCCAGTGAGAACACAATTCAATATTGTAACAACCATTCTGTTGCAGTGCACCGTCGACATAAAAATCGACGTCACCAATTCGGTCACTTATACCAGCAACACTGCTTGTGTGAATCACTTGCACGTACGTCGCGTCGTATTTAGATATTTGTGAATCACGACTTTTGTTGTAGAAATAGGGAGCCGATGGATCCAAACCTGTAACGAATTTTTAATAAAATTTGAAATGGTAATTCTAGAAATTTTTATCACTTTAACCCTAAGCGTTGTCATTTGGTGAATATGCAGTTCACTGTGAGACTGAAGATTATGAGACGAAAACTTTCAGGTGCATGATGTTTGGCTTTAAATTTGACATGCAGAAGGAATTCATAAACTATGATCAGATCGGGTAAATAATTCTTAAACTATAATCACATAACCAAATAGTTTATAAAATGCAATTGGGTAATCAGATAGATAATTTAAAGTTGTGATTAGATTATCAGACACATCATTCAGAAACTGTCATTAAATAATCAGATAAATGGTTCATAAAATGCAATTAGATAATCAGATAGATAATTTGGAAATTGATTATCACACACATAATTCATAAAGAATAATTACATAATCAGACAAATGCTTTAAATAATCAGATAGATAATTCATAATTTGTGATTAGATTATCCTGTAGATAAAGCATAAAGTGTAACTTTATAATCATATAACTAATTAATAAACTATATCTTCACAATCACATAGATAATTCATAAACCTCAATCAGATAAATCTTTAACTTTAAAATTATCTTTATATTTATTTTCCTTCTTTGATCATTTTTCGTATGAACATTGTTAACAAAATTATAAACGTATAGAATTTTGTGGGCAACCCTGAATGATTCATATAGAGATGATAATCACATAGTTATGTTTACTCAATGAATATATTAATATATTTACCGACAACGTAATTCGCTTTTTTCTTCGCGTAATAAGATGAAAGACCAGCAATATGAGCACCAACAGAATGACCAATTACTGTTATATTAGATGAATCTACTCCTTGGGTTCCGAGAAAGTCGATCATGCGAGCGATGTATTGTGAGACAGGCACAACTTGACTGGTTACCGAAGCGTATGTACCCATCGATACAGCACTCCAATCGATTAAGATGACATTATACTCACCATGCTGGAGATAAGCTGCAAAATTTGAGACGGATTCTACTGCTTCAATTTCTTATACATTTATCGAGAATATGAGCATACATGATGAATTCATACATGAATGAAGAGCATACTTCAAACACCATATTAATGATTGAAAATAGTATTGAAAATTATCAATGACACTATCTTCTATTTTTTACTGGTACACATTCTTCACAATATAAATCTACTGTAATATGTGGAATAGGAATGTAATAATGTAATAATATATATGAAACTGTAATTGTAAAATTTTAATAAGATATTCGACTTATCAAAAGTTTTTAATATTTCACAGGTAATTAGTATGCTTTGCATTGCATGGTAATATTCTCTCGAGCATGCTAAATCAATGTGTTGTAGGTAGATGACAAAAGTAGGGATTTGATCAAATTCCTAAGGTATATGATTAATTCATTGATTATGTCAAAATAGCAACTCTGTTGGGTGATTTTCTTGAAGAAAGTAAGTGATTTGATCAAATCCCTTAACTGCTTTAGTGAAAATATGAAATGAACAAGTCAGGACTGGCACAGCTCTATAATTTGTGTTTCTATGACTATTCTTGTATTAACTATTCTACATTTAATAATGTGTGGTTTACTAAATAAATACTTTCAATATCTAAACAATATTATTTTATCTTTCCACTAAAACAGTTAACGGATTTGATCAAATCACGTACTCTCGTCAGAGAAATCATCGCACAGAGCGTTAATTCAACATCATCCCTATTTTCATAATTTCCCTACAACAAATATAATTAAAAGAAAATGCCCTGTAAAGTACGGAGCATTTGATAAACATTCGTTTGAATGTTACAGCATTCACGATAAACAAAATGGTAACAGTTTCAACCGACCATGAAAATAACCTTTCACTTTTGTTTTGTAAATATACACCATAAAATATTACACAACAAAATTCTTACATCGCAAATCACTATTTTATTGCAGATTTCATTATTACTGAAGATGTAGAAATACAATTTGTAATTTGCGTTATTTTTGCAATACTATTTTTTATCGTGTATTCTTGAAATGTTGCGAGTTTTCATATCGTACAATTTTTCTTTGAATACATTTTACAAATAGACAATATTTAATCTTCAAAATTTTAAAATAGAAAATTGTTATTTTTTAAATTTTTAAACTAGAATTTTTTCAATCGTTAAATATTTAAAATGGAACGTTTTTAATTCTGAAATTGTCCAAAGAGATAACTTTTAACTTTACAATTTTAAAATAGAATATTGTTAATATTAAAATTTTTAAAAAAGAAGATTTTGAATTGTGAAATACTTAAAATAGAACATTTTTAATTTTCATATTTTTCAAACGGACAACTCTTAATTTTTGATTATTATTATATTAGTTCATGGTTATATCTTATTGTCATTGCATAAGAGGCAATAAAACACATTTAAATAAATTTTGAAATAAAACATACCATCCCGAACGTAGATACATGATTGACTCTGGTGAGAATTTGACCATCCGTGGGTGACAAATATCGTTGGTATCTTCGGATCAAATTGACCGAGTCTCAAACTGTCAGTATCACCAATGCGTAGTTGTACAGAATCATGAGGTTTATTTCTCGTGTACAGATAAAAACGAATGATATTCTGATAATCCGAAACGTTTGCTTTATCCTTTTTGGTGCTAAATATAGTATAATGCACTTCAAGCGTATTATTGTATTCGTCTAGTATATAAATATTTACACTCAAGTTAAATTCTAAAAGTTCGATGGCCGACACATATGCTCCTGGAAGTAGTATTGTTTTTATTGAATTTTAATAATCACAGATTTTATTTAAGTTCATGAAAAATAAAGAAAATACTTTATTTTAGGTTACAGTTGCTTCAAACATAACACTTACCTTTTCGTATAATTACGTTATAATATTTAACGATCGATGATATTTACTATAATAAGTGATAATACCTTTTTGTAACACTTATAATTTCCTATTTACATTATATTGCAACGATGAAGTATAGTGTAAGGACAGCATGCTTACAGCTAAGTATGACGAATATTTTTCATGATAATATATTAGAATCACTTAAATCGCAAAGTTACTTTATTGTAAAAGTTCACTTTCAATACAAACTTCTCATGTACTGTTACGATATTTATATGATATTAATGTTATGTATAATTCTTTCAAATTTTCGTTACCTTTGGACTACAGTTTTGTGTTATTCGCGTCATACATGGTGTGTTCCGAAAGTAATGCAATCGAAATTCCTGCGCCGCTCCTGTTGGTCGGAGGAGGATGTGGAGGGGGATGGGACCACGTGGATTAGATGCGGGGGTCCCTAAGCTTTCCAACGAACCCGGTCCCAAAGCTTTCCGAGCTGTGAAAGGGACAGGCCGTGAATTTTTGTGACCCCCTGTTTGGTGATCGTATCGCGGAAAAATTGGAGTCGATGATCGGAACAATGATACGCGATAAAGCTTTTGTGCTAAACTAAACAAATCTCTTGAGGAGACAACTAAAATGATTCGTGAGGCTTATGGGGACTCTGTTCTGTCGTATTCACAAGTTTCGAGGTGGTTAAAAGCCTTTAAGGAAGGCCGGGAAGAGGTTCACAACGATCAACGCTCTGGGCGAACACCAACCAGCAAAACAGTCCGTCAAATAGTCCATAAAGAATTTCTTCCTGAAGAACAGATAGTTAACACTGCCTACTACGTGGATGTGCTGGAAAGACTGCGAAAAAGGGTCGTCAGGACGAGAAAACACATCTCCGCTACATGGATAGCACATCACGACAATGCGCCTTGCTACAACGCGCTGCGAGTACGTGAGTTTCTGACCCAAAACAAGGTGTTAACGCTTCCCCAACCACCCTATAGTCCTGACCTAGCACCGGCAGACTTTTTTTTGTTCCCCCGGATCAAGACACCCCTGAAAGGAACGCGTTTCTTGTCGATACAAGACATCCAAGCGGCGGCCTTAAAAGCGGTTCCGGAAAACGCATTCCAGGACGCGTACCGTCCATGGCAGGGTCGCTGGCAAAAATGTGTAGAAGCCCAAGGGCAGTACTTTGAAGAATTTTGAGTATTTGTAAAAATTGGTTCAATAAACTTCCTTAAAAAAAATCAATTGCATTACTTTCGGAACACACCATGTACATATCATACATACTAATCTTTCGTTTGATAATGTTATAAATATGTTACACAAAATAATATTCCTGTATTTTATCGAACATAAATGAATAATGTTGCACAAATTAGGAAGTTATCGAAATAATTTTATAACCGTCATAATTAGAATTTTTTGTCGTTGCAAACTGTTACAAATTTGTAATGTTACATTATTTTTGGTAAATATTAACAGTTAGTAACTGTTAAGTAACTTAACAGTTAGTTACTGCTAAGTAACTTAACAAGAAACAGTTTATTTTTACTGTGTAATTTGTGTAGCTTGCCGGAGTTGAATTTTCTTACAAAATTAAAGAAATCATATAAGGAAGCCTTAATGAATCATACAGTAAGATTTCACAACTAACATTTATTTAAAACAAATTTTTCGAACGTCAATAAAAATCGCAAAATTGTATTACTTACCAAATAACAGGAAAATTCCAATAATGTACATTTTGGTAGCACTTCTTACTGCGTTCTGATTTCAGTAATGCATGATACCAGCTATTTTATTTTTGTCATAGATAAAAGAACAAATTTATGCTTAACGTCACTGTCCACGATTTTTACTTTACATTTTGAAGAGCTATGTACGCCAATCACGGAAAGACGTCTATTATATAATAATAGTTTTCGATAGTAGATTCTTATTGTTAGTAAAAATATTAATATTTTACAGTGATAGAATTTTTCCAAAAACTTTTCAATCGTATAGAAATTAAAACGTTAGTACCATTATTTAGCAATGATTCTTGTTAATATTATAATTCAGCAACCAAAATACGAAAACTGTCAACTGCAGATATTTGATGATTTAAATTACAAAACATAATGATGCATTCTTTATTATTTTTATATGAGCGTGCGTTTCTTACATTGATTGCCCGTTTTAAAGAATATCGGCCATAAAATTTTTGTTTCAACCTTTATATGTATGTACTTATATAATGTTATTTTGCTGAATAAAAAAAATAATTTACATTCGGTTCTGCTGGCTAGTACCGCAATTCGTCACACGATGTGCACGAATCGTATTAGTATTGTATATGTACTTCTACATATAACACCATTTTGACCTTGCATATGTGAACTCATGTTTATGTCCTTAATCGCACTATGATAGTAGTGCACTATGATAGTATTCGACAGTAACCCACACGAATTTAACAGTCAATTACGCACAGAAGAAGCTAATTCCAAAAATTATACATTTCTAAAATTTCTTATTATTTCTACAAATAAGTGTTCTATAATCAAAAATTCCAGAATTATTTCAACATGGTTTTTATTGAATTTTTTTGTTCACTATATCGAACAATACTTTATGGCAGCAATCAATATAGCTTCAATTAAAACTATTCAATTAACATGATAAGTATCTTTCTCTTACAGTATGGAATAAGAGGAAGGACTAGTTCTTCGCGAATGGCGGATGCGGATTCGTATTCAAATAATAAGTTCCCTTAGCATTTTGGTCCGGTATGATACCACCCATATAAACAGCTTGATTCGAGTTGCATAAACCGAGTTGATATGCAGCATAATGATCACACTTTCGCGCTACAAAACCTTTACTGCTTATAGATTCAGTGAAGTACTCGTAAGATCGAATATGACCACATATTACAGGAATTGAACAGCCAACTTGGTCTAAACCACCGTTCACGTAAAAGTCAGCATGGCCAATTGTATCCACCGTGCCGAAGATAAAAGTAGTGTGAATTGCTTGTACATAGTTCGCATCGTCCTTAGAGAGTCTCGTACCCTTGCCTTTGCCGCGGAAACCGGGACCAGCTGGATCTAAACCTGTAACGAATATCAATTTTGAGGAAAGTCTTTTAACGTTCTTAACTCCAGAGTATATGAAAATTTACCCATATACTATATTTGGTAAAAACATAAGCTCTTGGGTATGAGAGACTATTTGCGGCTAAGTATTTCGGGCGGTATAATAGGCAGATGAATTTACGTTCAGTAGATGATCTCATTTAACCCTAGAACTACCAACCAGTCAAAATAACTGGTTTCAGATTTCTCATTTTATATTAAAAAATTTTATTGTCGTGATTTTATGGAAATGTCTGTCATATTTTGTTGAAATAAAAACTAGTTCTATATGTTACTTGAGTATTTATTTATTTTGTTACTCTATATGTTACACTTTAGTATTTATTTATTTTGTTACTCTATATGTTACACTTTAGTATTTATTTATTTTTTATTCTTCAATAAACGATCATTTAATGTCGGCAGTTCTAATGTTAATGTACACTCACCGACGATGTAGTTTACTTTATTCTTCGCGTAATAAGATGCAAGACCAGCAACGTGAGCACCGAAAGAGTGGCCAATTATTGTCGTAGTTGATGGATCCATTCCTTGCGATACCAGAAAATCTAACATTTTAGAGGCATATTTTGCAACGCTTTGGACCCGATCTGCTACAGTATACAATCCGTCGAGTGCTAAAGCACCCCAGTCGATCACGATAATGTTGTAATCACCATGCCGAGCATAGGCTGTAAACGGAAAGAAATGTTATGTTCGCAAATCTGAAAATCTCAGATTGGTAAGTTAATGTTGGTCAAAAATTGAGGGGTCTTTGAGGGTATATTTCAGTGAATGGTTACAAAATATACAAAATGTGATATTTTGTGCGAATCGAAAAAATTGAGACTGGTAGCTAAATATTGCTATAGTATCTATTTTCATTGTCTCACGGTGTATTCTAAATAATCTTCCGACATATATAATCTTCCTGGAAGTTCTGTGTGAAAATAGCAACATTAATTCGACGTAATAAACTAGTTTTCTAATTAGGGTGAATGTACAAAATTAGATAAATCTTTCTTTAAGAAGATAAAGTGTAACACCGAATAGTATTTTTAGACATTTTAATAAATGTATGCATTTTACAAAATAACTATTTCTTGCCAGTCTGACAACTATTCGTAATAGTCTTTGTTATACCAGTTCAGATCAAATGAATTCATCTCTTGCAAAAAAAATGATTGTTTTTTTATAAAAACTTCACAAGAAATAAATAAACGATAAAATAATTGATATAGATGTTAAGTTCTCATCTTGTCGAAAATAAACACTTCACAAGATGATCTTAACAGATTAAGTTGACATTTGTAGCAAGATCATTCGCTCGTTCAAGTAGTTTAAGTATTATCCTGTTAAGAATGATCAGAATGCACTACAAATATAAATAATACGTTGAAAAACGTACCGCCACGAATGTAGACGCATGGTGGGCTCAAATAATTGTTTTGCCACCCATGGGTGATAATTACCGTTGGTTTCTTCGGATTAAATTGACTGAGTTTCAAACTGCGCTCATCTCCAATATACAATTGTATAGAATCATGGCTTCTTTCACTCGTGTAGTGATAAAACAAAACGGTGTTCGGATAGTTGGATTCGCTCACATTTAGTTTGGTGTTAATCAGGTTTAAATGGAAAGGTAGCGGGTTATTATAATCGTCTTCTAGATAGAGAGACATTCGAAGACGCAACGCAAAAGAATGTCCTCCCGGTACAAAAACATCTACAAGTAATGTTTATTGCGTTAATTATTTAAAGAACACCATGTTCACTTATGAGCATAAGGAACCATAAAATGCTTTGCATTTATAGTAATGTAGTAACAAGTCGTAAAAAATATGGAAACTGTTAAAATGGGACGACCTATGCGGAATAGTTTAAATAAAATGTAAATGATAATTTTTGATGATTAATACAAGTATTAGACTTACTCAAAATAGTGAACAATAATAGAACAATTGGAGTGTGTACTTTTATGTTTGTTTCCATTTCACCGATGCTTTCAAGTACTATTCTGATGCGTTAAATCAAACCAATTCAAACTTCTGTAAGATACAGTTCGCTAAGTACATGATAAGTAAAATGCTTAATTCAAATTAAGTAGAAAGATAATCAGAAAGTTTACAAATAATATAGTTTTCGGTTGTAGAATAGACTTTGCAGATTTGCATATTTCTCCACGAATTTTCTTAAATTATTTCCGAATGTTGGTTTAACTAAAATATTGTTTGTTGTATTCAATGTTATTTTCAACTATAAAGGCTCGTACAATTTCGATCGTACTATTCGATAATGACAAATTTGCTAGATAAAAATTTGTGAACAAATTTTTCAAAAATAATCTTAATAACATGTTGCTTTATACGATAATGAAAGGAACACAATCACTCTATTTAATGATTTATATTATATAAACCGAGAGTATTAATTTAAAGATTTAATTTTAACATTTTAATCAGTCGACTACAATTCAATAATTTTCACTTAGCTAAAATAAACACAATTATTGAATATTTATAACAAACACGAGGAAATGTATTCCAACAGTAAATGTTCTTTTACTTACTTGTTAGTGCTGGCTGGTCTAGATACCAACTGATATAGCAGGTTATAATTTAGTTGCAATAAATGTAACAACCTAATATACACTTACGTTCTAAGACCTTGCTATAACCACACTTCATGCTCTTACCACTACATGTAATGCACTACACATGTAAAAATAATCGTAGCGTGAATGAAGGACGATACGAGCGGACTGCGAATACCGTCACATTTGCTTCAAAAGGGGGTTAGAAGGGTAAACAGTCCGTTGTTTCTCTTTAGTGTAATCTTTTTTTACAGTCTTATTACATTATTTAATAATATATTTACATTTAATTTTACGGCTATCGCTTTTGTATTAAAAACGGATAAGGTGAAATGAGGTAAGTTCGTAAACGGGCAAGTGCGTGCAGGCTATTTTTATTACAATATGAGCGAAATTTCTCCATTTAGTATGTTTGTTTCCTCGTTTTGTTTCACTATATCCCCTTTTATATTTTAGCTAAGAGTACTTGTTTGCAGTATAGAGTACTTGCATAATGCAGTGAAAAGCATTTTATAGCAGTTTTGTTAATAATTCTGCTCTTGCCCTATTGCACATGAAATAAAGTTTCAAAGTATTTAACTTCAAGTTACGCTCTTACCCCATTTTCGGGGAAAGTGCAGAGTAGTTGACATTTTAAGCAATTTCCTATCAGAATCAAAATGTACAAGGAAAATTAAGGTCCTAGTTAATATTAATTAAACAGTAGTAATTGTGCAAAGCGTTCAATATCGACAGTCTTAGGTATTTACGTAACAGACTGAAAATACTTAAGTTTAAATACCAACTTTACAAAAACCAGTCTGCACTTACCCCACTTCACCTTATATACAACAAATAAATAAATGTAAAAGAACTTCGGTACAAAGAATGTTGAAATATTTACAATTTTGATGTGATTGCTGAGTGCGTTTACATTTTCCGAGGTATCTAATCTCCCTCAGATGTATTACGAATGCGTGATACTAGTAAAAAATAAGAACAATTGTGATCCTTAAAGGTGGAGTCTAGTGACAAATTTTAGGACTAATTTTTGAGAGCTGTAGCAGAAAATTGATAAGACAGTTCTTTATCTAATATTTTCGTCAGAAGATGCGATTTCCTAATTTTAATAATGTGAAGCCAAAAAGTAATATTTTTTTCAGAGATATTCCTTAGACTGTACTGAAGAGTCGTATAAAACCGGATTTTCCAATTTTGCTTTAAAAACTGTTTAAAAAATGTTTCTCTATGCTTTCGTTCGTTATGAAGTTTCAAAAACTTATTCAGTTCTAAGTTTGTTCGCCACACTTCATCCCTTAGAATAGTTCACAAATTTTTATAGAACCGCTATAAAAAATTCTTATTTTATCAATTTGTTGTTGGAACACGTTAAATCGTTATTAATGGGAACTGATAATTAAGGGTGACAATTCTTCGTCTTAAACATAATAGAGCTATGCAGAATGCATTTCACTGTTCCAGTAAAAAAGTACATTTTGTACATTGGATCTGCATTTCATAGAACGTTCATAATAATTTTGATTTCAATTTTGAAACGTTAAGGTATAAAATTAATTTATTATAAAAATATAATAGTGCTAAGAAATTTTCACCATGTTGAATAGCGTTTTATTAAAAAAATCAAAGAGTACCTTTTAACAGCAATACATGGAAAATAACAGAATAAATACCAAGTAATTACACTTTGAACTATAAAAAGGTGTGGAAACTTGTTTTGTGTGACAAAAACTTCATAATTTCCTTGCTAATATTATACATCTGTTACAGATTATTTGTATCAATATCGACAGTCTTAGGTATTTACGTAACAGACTGAAAATACTTAAGTTTAAATACCAACTTTACAAAAACCAGTCTGCACTTACCCCACTTCACCTTATATACAACAAATAAATAAATGTAAAAGAACTTCGGTACAAAGAATGTTGAAATATTTACAATTTTGATGTGATTGCTGAGTGCGTTTACATTTTCCGAGGTATCTAATCTCCCTCAGATGTATTACGAATGCGTGATACTAGTAAAAAATAAGAACAATTGTGATCCTTAAAGGTGGAGTCTAGTGACAAATTTTAGGACTAATTTTTGAGAGCTGTAGCAGAAAATTGATAAGACAGTTCTTTATCTAATATTTTCGTCAGAAGATGCGATTTCCTAATTTTAATAATGTGAAGCCAAAAAGTAATATTTTTTTCAGAGATATTCCTTAGACTGTACTGAAGAGTCGTATAAAACCGGATTTTCCAATTTTGCTTTAAAAACTGTTTAAAAAATGTTTCTCTATGCTTTCGTTCGTTATGAAGTTTCAAAAACTTATTCAGTTCTAAGTTTGTTCGCCACACTTCATCCCTTAGAATAGTTCACAAATTTTTATAGAACCGCTATAAAAAATTCTTATTTTATCAATTTGTTGTTGGAACACGTTAAATCGTTATTAATGGGAACTGATAATTAAGGGTGACAATTCTTCGTCTTAAACATAATAGAGCTATGCAGAATGCATTTCACTGTTCCAGTAAAAAAGTACATTTTGTACATTGGATCTGCATTTCATAGAACGTTCATAATAATTTTGATTTCAATTTTGAAACGTTAAGGTATAAAATTAATTTATTATAAAAATATAATAGTGCTAAGAAATTTTCACCATGTTGAATAGCGTTTTATTAAAAAAATCAAAGAGTACCTTTTAACAGCAATACATGGAAAATAACAGAATAAATACCAAGTAATTACACTTTGAACTATAAAAAGGTGTGGAAACTTGTTTTGTGTGACAAAAACTTCATAATTTCCTTGCTAATATTATACATCTGTTACAGATTATTTGTATCATTGACCTTAATTATTCGCGATGCGGACTTGTGGACTGTTAGGAGAAAGGAAAACTAATTTCAGCACTGAAGTGACTTTAAAAAACCGATCGAAGTAATATAGGGTTTGGTATCGTAAATTGTCACCAAAATAATAGGTATTGCGTCTTTTGAAATGCGTAGTAAACCTTGACCATGACATTGCAGCATAAGGCGATTAGGACCTAAGGCTGATGTACTTGGTATGTTATCGCTTGGTTTTCATAGCGCATAACCACACCAATACGTTTAAAACATAATTAGTTACTTCCAGAAAGTTTTCGTTAAAAGAAAACAATTGAAAATATTTTGTGGTGAAAGAATACAGTCGTTTACAGGATTTTAACATAACAGATTTAAGTCGTTTCCTTACCTTTTGTATTTTAGTATATTTATTTCATGTTCCTGAAATTTGTTTTTGCGCCATTGTACGCAATTTGGTATGTAGCATTGATTTATTAAAACGCGCGTGACTTTTATAGATTAACATTGTTTACAAAGATGAAATATCTGCAAAAATATTATCGAAGTTTCTGAGTACTGTTAGCAAGAAATTTTCGTATTGTTTACCCTCTATTGCCTTGTACATCCTTCGTTACAATGAAAACCCTGTCACAAATGTAATTGAAAACTAAGGATATCTATGGACATCCTCCTACAGTTGACACAATATTCTATATATGTATCGTAAAAATTATAAAGTGACTGCATTGTGTTCTAGTGAAGTAAACCTAGATGTATGTATCTTTTATCGGTTTTGAAAGAAAATGTATAATAATGAGTTGAATTTTTTTAACGAAAGTTAAAATTTTTTATTTTAAGTTTATATACCGTCATCGTGGATTAACACCATAACTCACCGTATACTGCAGACGAATCATTTTAGTACATACACCCGTATGTAACGCCATTTCGCCTCTGCATCTGATAATTCTGCTTATATGGGCCCGTGATTACGTCTTTAACCCCTTGCCCTATAACAACGTGTCACATTCGTGACGCCCGCTACAGTCGGATAAACCAAGCTCGTATTTTCAGAATAATTGAATTTTGGATTCAATTCTGATTATAAACTGCATTACCAAGGATCGCTTCATCCATAACGTACTGAACATTTGAACTTTCTTTAATTGCTTTAATGTTGTAGGAATAATTAGGCAGCTTTGCATGACGTGACTGTCTAGAAAATTGTAGGTTAAATGGTTAATTGCATTGCGATCATGCGGTATTTCCACAGAAATCCTCACAAATTTGGCAGTCACCTATTGTACAGAGGAAGCAATTTTTATATCGTTAATTCTAAAAATTATTTTTTTCTACAGTGTTGTAAACACCGTGCCCCCACCGTTAACGCATTAGTGACACCAAATTGTAGATGGGCCACGTGTAAGGTAATCAGGAATGTTATTGGTAACGGGTGAGGTTCACCAAATAAATTAGTGGGCGATTTTAAAAAATATACTGTAATGCTTTACTGTGACTTTTTACGGCGAATGCCAATACAAGAGTGTCTTCCTAGACATGATCTCGTCTTGAGGACACCTCCGTTAGCATAACTGTTTAGAGCACTTAGTCCCAACGAAGTTCCCTGAGGAAGGGCAAATGCTATGACAAGAGGCCCATGGCCTGTGTCGACCGTTCGTCGATTTCTATTTTCTAACACACGACGCGATGCTTCTTTTGTTTTAAGACCGCGTTTACATTATGCAAGTTGTAAGAGCGAGCATTCAATATTATAATTTCCTTCGATGGAATATTCCAGAATATTCCAGAGACGGTTAAACAAAAGAAAATCGGGCAACAACGTCGCCGCCCGGCGGTCGGGAGAGTCGCCGCTCGTCGTCAGTGTTGTGTGGTCACAAGTAAATTTATGTGCTAAAGAAATAAATATCTTCATTATTTCAATTAATTAGTGTTTTCTTGAGTTTTGCCTTTATGCTCGGACCCGCACTTACTACAAAGTGTAGACGTTATTGTAGATTTTAAAGCGTTTTAGAATATTGAAGGTTTACCATAGCAGCAATAAAAGATCAAGGAAGCATTACTTGTCCATTTTTACTAGTTATGCACTTGGTATGCACATTGAGCCCGAGCTTGGCGTAGTTGTATTTCTTTTTTTCGGTTCCATGTAGTTTGAAAAGTTAAGGCGATCCCTGGGTTTATTATTGTTATGGTAATTTGTAGATCGAGTGCCAGATGAGTCATTGGTCAACAGTTTGGACCGGATGACCACTGGTAGGGAAAAACGGGAATTCATAATTTGAAAAAAGTAACTCTCTTTCCCACTCCTTGTTTTTTTTCCCAGGTTGCTGTGAAGATATATTTTGTACGCAAAGACGCGTAGGCTAGTCATGTTATACTCGTTAGAGAACAAACTCACTCATTTTGTTAATTTTCGTTAAATAGTTGTTTCGGTTTCAAGTCAATCTCACCTACCATTTTTAATCCGAGGTTAGTCTACACAAGTGAGCCGAGCCGGACGCCAGTGTAAGTAGGTAGTTAAATTTTTGCGTTTCTTACTGTTGGGATTCAATCTTAATATTCTAAGACCATATTTTTATTTTAGTTGGAATATTCTTGAAAATGACCGTTACCGTTGCAGCGGTTTATTGTGGGCAATTTGTCACTCCGAAATTTTTATATGTTTTTATATTTTTATTAAGGCCCAGCATAATTTAGATTTATTATTGTCGAACCGTTAGGAGACAAGCGACATTTTGTTAGGGCGGTTCTTACCCCTTCTTGCAATATTTTGTCGACCAATCTGATGGTTAATTTTCACAAGTTGCTTGTCACCTCCAAATACATGCCGATCCCACTCCGCATTTTGTAGTTTTCGTGGAAAACACTCATTTTAGACAGGGCACATTTTCTCGCCAGCTCTTAACTAGTAAACATCTTTAAAAGTCCGTTACCACGTCATGTGATTTTTTCTAAGTATTAAAATAAAGTTCAACTTATACCTCCTACATCAGTTGTTTTGTTCATATTATCGGAGTAGTGGTTACTGAATCAACACCTTACTAGCTTGCGTATGCATTAAGTTGACGCGCAACGCAACACTTACTTTGTCTGTACCAAGCCTGTCGTTGAAGAAGGAAAATAGTTTCTTTCCTTTCTCGCCTTCCTTCCAGCAGGCCCTACGACAGGCCCACTTGCGAAATTGCTCGAAAATGTGTTCCATTCCACTTATTTACACCCGGGATGGGAATAATATTTTGCAACGCGGTTGATGGTGTGAAAAAAATAATACTAATATGTCAAATAGATTGAATGATTATGTCAGAAATTTCGTCTTTTCGTGGTAACAGGTACGATGGACTAATTCTTCACGAATTACGGTTTCCTGCTCAAGTTCAAATAAAAAAGTGCCACAACTGCTTCAAAGTAAGTAAGTTTTATTGAATTTTTTCGTTCACTATGACAATGTTTTATAAAACTGTCATTAATATGGCAGCAAACGATACAGTTTCAATTAACACTAAAACTACCAAACCGGTCAAATGACCGCTCCACAAGTTTCTTGTTATAAGGTACACATATTATTAAAGTATATTTCGTGAAATCAAAATTGACTTTCATTAAGATAAAAAATAAATGTTTAATTTATGTTTCATCGTTTGTTTATTTATTTTTTAACTTCATTTTTAATTTCAAATTAAGTACACATTATATGTCGGTAGGTTTAGTATTAACATGATAGATATATCTTCCTGTTACAGTATCGAATAAGAGGATGAACTAGTTCTTCGCGAATGGTGGTTTCGTATTCGTTACCAACATATGAGATCCCGTACTGTTACAGCTCGGTATACCACCACCCATAAGAGCAGTTGTATGTGACTTACATAGACCGAGCGTATATTTATCATAACTTTCGCATTTATGAGCTAAGAATGTATTGTTGAGTATGGATTCAGCAAAATACTCGTACGATCGCTCATGGCCACATGTTTGAGGAATTAAGCAGCCCGCTTGGTCTTTCCCACCATTTGGATAAAAATCAACATGACCAACTTCATCCATCAAACCGACAATATTAGTGGCGTGGATCACGTGTACACAGTGTCCATGCTCTTTAGAAAGTCTCTTATCTATGCCACTCTGATGGAAATAAGGACCAGCTGGATCTAAACCTGTAACAAACATCAATTTTGTGGAAAGCCTTTGAATGTTCTTACCTCCACGATATATGAACTTTACTAGACATATGATACAATATATTATATATTTGGTACAAACGTGAGCTCTTGTATATGGAGACTATTTGTAGTTAAGTATACTTTATTTGGGAGGTATGATAGACAGTCAGCAGATGGATATTTACTTTGAATAGATGTTCTTATTTAATGTACACTCACCGACAACGATGCCTAGTGTCACCTTCGCGAAATGAGATGCAAGACCAGCAATGTGGGCGCCGAGAGAGTGGCCTATTATTATTGTAGAAGATACATCCATTCCTTGCGACACCAGAAAATCTATCATTTTAGCGACATATTTTGCGATTTTTGGGACCCGACTGGATACAGTCTTTAAGTCGTTTTGCGATAAAGCACCCCAATCAATTAGGATAATATTGTAATCACCTTGCTGAAAATAGGCTGTAAACGGAAAGAGATGTTATGCTTGCAGATCTGAAAATGTCAAATGTTTGGTAAGTGAATGTAATATATTGATCAAAAATAAAATTGATTGATTTTGTCGAAAATAAATACTTTACAGGATGATCTTAACAGGTTTTGTAAGTTGACATTTAAGAATGATTAGAATACACACAATTATCGTGTTAAGAATGATTAGAATACACTACAAACATAAATAATACGTTGAAAAACGAACCGTCACGAATGTAGGTGCACGCTGGGCTCTCATAAGTGTTCATCCACCCATGGGTGATAATTATTGTTCGTTTCTTTGGCTCAAATTGACCGAGTTTCAAACTTTCCACATCGCCAATAGGCAACAGTAAACTATCATTTCTTCTTTCTTTCGTGTAGAGGTAAAATAAAACGGTGTTCGGATAGTTTGATTCGCTCATGTCTGTTACGGTGTCTAACGGGGTGTAATCTAGACTTAGCTGTTTACCATAATCGTCTATGATATAAAGTTTTACTTTAATACTCAATCCAACAGGTAATGTGGCGATGCCAAAAATACCTATAAATAATGTACATTCCATTAAGTAGAACACCAAGTTTACTTACGAGCATGAAAACCATCAAATTATCATGCATTTGTACTTTGCATTCATACTACCCAATGAAAGTATCTGAACATATGTTTATAAAACTTTTTGGTAACAAATTTCTTTGAAGTTATTTTTTCTTTGTCACCATTGTCACATGTCTTTCACTCAAAATTTAGTTAAAATATATGTATTTCAAATTGTGTTAAACCGAGTGGTGAGTGTGAATTGCATTACGAGTTGAAATGGATAAGGATTAGTAACACTAGCAACTGATCTACGCATGTTCTTATAAGAGTAACGATTGGTAGTAATTTTTTAATACTTCTCTGGGTAAGCACTGTAACTCTATTATTTTATAAATTTTCACTAATGATCTGTATAATATGAGACCTTCCAAATGAACAAAATGTTTCCTTGCATCTAGAGTTCAATACTCTTGTTTGAAATTTATAGGAGAAAATTACATTAGCTAGAATTGCCAAAAGCGACATACATGTGTTATAATGGGTAACTAAAAATACAATCGTGTATCATTCAAGTCTATTCATCAATGTAAATTTTCTGAAAAACAATGAGTACGAAATTTACTAAGAAGGTTGTTTGTCTCCTTTGAATATAAATGTAAAAATCGTAACAATATGGAAATTGTTGAAATAAGGCAAGCTACGAGGATTACATAGGATGACTTAAATGATCGCTTTCGATGATCAGTAGTAGAAGTATTATACTTACTCGCAGTAGCAAGCAGTAATAGAACAATTTGTAGCTGCAGTTTTGCATTCGTTTCCATTTTCCTAGTAACTTTTTTGACATGCTATATTCAGTCTAGCTTCTGTAAGATAAAATTGGATGCTGCATGGACCAACAACAAGAGAGAGTTGTATATTATAGAATACATACTAAATTTGCCAATTTCTTGCACAAATATTTTGTATTGTTACCATATCGTTTCCTTCAACGATGAAAATGACTCATAATATTTAGTCGTTGTATGTTACAAATAATTACACTACTCAAATAAACAGTGTGGTTAATGTTTTTAGTTACATTTTCATTTTCTAATTCGAGTTAATTATTTTCAATTTTATAAAACACAATTGTTGAATATTGATAATAAAAAATAGCAAATTCCAACAGAAAGAACTATTTTACCTGTCAGTCCTATCTGAGTCCACTAGCAACTAGCATCAACTGCCTTTGTCGCAATATAGATATTAAATCGTCCTGATATACATATATACTCAGATGCTAAGACATTATCGTAATCTCATGCGCACGTGCCGAGGTACTACAACATGTAATAAATAATTATAGTGTGGGCAACGGACAAATAGGTGAAGTACATTAACGTGGTGTTATGTCATCCTCTTCGAAATGGGTGCGATAAACACTACACTGTTATTTTTCGAAAGGACCGATTCATAGTTGCTTATTACATTATCAACTAAATGTATTTGTACTTGAGCGGCCGTCATTTTTGTATTGTAAATGATGTCCATTTGTATAGTGAGTAATAGGAAATAGAAATAATTATTTGGTTATAAAGGATATTAAAATAATCGAAATAAATATGGGATTACTGAAGACGATTATAAGACCTTACAAGGCTAAAAGAAAAGGGAAATCTTCCATGTCTAGTTCCCTAATTTTCGTAGAATTGCTGTGGATAGTCGCTCCGTTGTCAGGTTGTCTTTTCCTGTCAGGTTGGTATATAATACACCAAAGTCTCATCACAAATGTCTCAACTCCTATTGTTAAATTCGTAAATCGTTGAATTACTAGTTTCTAAAATGCCTGTCTCTATGGATTCCTCGGTTCATAAATTGCTACGCTTTCAAGCTAGTAAATTTCTGAATACCCGAATTCCTTTTTGATATTCTTAAATTTTCACGTTCAAAAGTATCTAAGCTTCTATGCTTTAATTCCTCAGGTTCTCAAATTTCTAAGTCCCCAATTAATTATGTCGCTAAATTGCCAGGATTGCTCGGTCCAACCCTAGAAATTTCTGTGTCCACAAACTTGAAGATGTCCCTAAATTTTCATATACATAAACTTGCAAATCTTAAGTTATCAGATTGCAATATTTTCTAGTCTAAGTATTTCCAAACGTAGTATATGCAAAGTGGCAGAATAAATATCAAGTAGTACGAGTGATAACAAGATGCAGTAACTTGTATCGCGTGACACTTCATAATCTCCTTGCTAATGTCATAGTTGTACCATATATTTCATCATTAACTCCGAGTTATTCACAATGTAGTACATGAACTATCAAATGAAAGTGTAATTTGAAAAAATGAGTAAGTTGAAAAAATAGATACAGCTAATGTAAGTACCTCTGGATACCATAAATATTCATCTAAATAATAGGTATTAAGTTTTTTGACATGCAACATAAGGCTATTAGGACAAAATACTCATGTACTTTGCGTTATCGCTCGGTTTCGATATCAATATGTCCAAAAGTAAACAGAGCAACAGTGGAAACATTTTGTAACAAACGAATACTTTTTATTACTGTATACATCCTTCCAAGCAATAAAAACCTTGCCATAAATTTAATTGAAAAAAGGGACATGTCGAGACAACCTGCTGCAGTATACAATATTCTACGTATTGTAAAAATTAAAATGCGTTGAATTTTAGTGAAATGAATCTGTGTATATGTACTTTTTATCGGATTTAAAAGACAATGGATAATAGTGATAAAAAGGTATATTTTTTGAACGAAATATAGGTTTGTACACCGTCACCGCGGATTGAAACCACAGTTGGCCACATGGCGCGCGCGTATGTGTCGCCATTTTGACACTGCATGTGGCAACTCTCCGTATTTGGGCCCATTTTCTTATCCTTAGTCGCACTATATCATGTTATTTCTACAATGATCGAAGTCGATAATTGCGTGGAAGAAGGTATATTTATATTTTTAATCCCGAAAATCATTTGCTCCCACAGTTTCGTTAGTAGTCACTTATGAGGAGTCTAGTTTAGAAGATTCTCGTCTGGGTGCTTTATTTTAAATAATTAAACCTTTTTTCTATTTTCTATGCAAGCGTTGCAAACACTCGTAATTAATTTCAGGTTTATTACTACCATTATATTCTGAGAGTAAAATGAAAGAAACGGGTTTTACATACTTTGACCTAATGCTTGTATAACATGTGAAATCTCTATAACTCTATGTGAAGGACAATATGTTATATTATCGTCCGTATGATAGGAAAAAATACAAGTCTAATCATATGAATTGTTTACGACAGAAGTTTCTTCTCCTCTTCATAATTGATGAGAGGATGAACGAATTCTTTGCTAACGAGAACAAAGTGAATTTGCTAAGGTTTCGAATTCTTTATCAAGTAATAGCCTTTGTAGTGTTCAAGAACATTCTAGGCAACCTTTAAATCATTAAAACTAAATTCAATCTTGTTATATTAAATCTTTCGTTAACAAAATAATAAAACTGAGATTAATCGAAATTGTACCATTTAAGAATAAATTAAAGTATTATATAGCAATACTGAAAAAACGTGTTAATTGTGATATACAGAGGATCTATACTTTAGAAGATTTAAATTTTTCATTAAATCTGATCCATTATTTAAAATAAATAAAAGCTCAGAATCGTTTCAAAATGTGTTTTATTTCATTTATTTACACTCAGTGTCAATAACAACGTTTTCTAGCATCGTTGGAAGTAATACATATCCAATTAAATAAATACAATGATAACAACCAAAATTCTTTTCGTGGAAACTGATGAAAGAGAGAATTAATTCTTTGCAAACGGTGGTTTTGAATTTGTCGTCAAATAGTAACTTCCTTCAACATTGAAGTCCGGTGTAACGCCTCCCATATGAGCTTTCTCAGCCAAGTTACATAAACCGAGTTCGTAATTAGCAAAACTGTCGCATTTTCGAGCTACGAAGCCATTGCTGTTTACAGATTCGGCGAAGTATTCGTATGATCGAATATGATCACAAAGTAGAGGGACGTTACAACCATTTTGATGTACTCCACCGTTGACATAAAAGTCGGCATGGCCGATTGACTGGTCCATGCCGTAAATATCGGAAGTGTGAATCACTAACACGTAATTTGCATCCTCTTTAGACAATCTTGAATCTGGACCTCTGAAATGAAAACCGGGACCAGCGGGATCCAAGCCTGTAACAAATATGAATTTCACGAAATATTTATTAACTCTAGCAAATTTTATTGTTTTTGGATATGGCCGGAATTTAAAGGAAAATTTTGGATATCGATATTACCTATAGTATTATCTATAAGTATGTAATTTATATCTTGTCTAAAATTTTATATTTTGCATATTGTCTATAATATTGTCTATAATTTTATAATTTGTACATCCATAATAATGTATGTAATAACAATATTATCTACAATATGCAGCGATTTAGTTTTATTCAGTGAACATTTCAATTTAACGTATTCTCACCAATGACGTAATTCACTTTGTTCTTCGCGTAATAAGATGAAAGTCCAGCAATGTGAGCGCCAAGAGAATGGCCGATCACTGTCGTGTTAGACGGATCCATCCCTTGCGAGGCGAGAAAATCGATCATGTGAGCAACATACTTAGCCACCTTAACAAGCTGAAGGGACACCCAGATGTATTCGTATGTCGATATCTCGTGCCACTCGATCAGAATGAGATTGTAATCGCCGTGCTGTAAATATGCTGTAAATGGAAAGACAGTGAACGTCTGCAGAACTCAAAAGCTTAAATCTTCGATACGTAATTGAAAATTCTTCTGTAGCTTATAATTCTTCTGCATTAAAAGTAGCATTGAGTATTTTTTGAAAGTAAAATACCTGCAATTTGCAGTAAAATATATCAAAAATATACCGTCACGAATGTAGGTGCATTGTTGTTCGAAGCAAGAAGTTTCCCAACCGGTGACGACGAACACTGTAGGTTTCCTTGGATCAAATTGACCACGTTTCAAACTTTCGACATCGTTGATGTATAATCGCACATAGTCTTTTCTTCTATTTCTCGTGTATAGATTGAACGAGATAATGTTCCGATAATTAGATTCACTCGTGTTTTGTTCGTTGTTAAACACGGTTAGCTGTTGTTTGAGCGTATTACCGTAATCGTCTATTGTATACACAAAAAAATTAAGGCCGAATCGAAGGTCCGTCAGGCCCCACGCAAAAGTACCTATAAACAATGTTTACTTTATTTACTTACATTAATTATGAATTGACCGCAAAATGTGGATTCAGAGAGTAAATATAAAATAAAAACAAAGAGTAAATACAAAAGTAGAGTAAGGATTGGATAAATAAGGATGTTTCTCTTCACATTTCCTTCTTTCAAATCGAATTTTTATGAATATTAGAAATGTTGTATTTACCCGTAACAACAGTGAGTAGCAGTAGAATCTTAACGTATATTTTGTTTGTTCCCATTTCTCTGGCAACTTGAAGTGAAGACACGTTTCTAAAACGCTAAATCAAATTCAACCTTCTGTAAGATAATTACGATGACTTATATATTATTATACCTCATCGTTGGTATTATAATATATTTATTATGTACTTCATGGCAAGCTATATTATTCTTCGTGATAAACCTGACAAGTGTGGTAAGCTATCATGTTAAATAAAATAAATAAAATTTATGTAAAACAGACATCACACATCCTACAGTTCTTTACTACAATTTTGCAAGTCAACAAAGTTTCCAAAATTACTTTCATGGAATGCAGTTTTGAACGATAAGGAAGGAATCAATTAATGTGGTGCCGATCTCTGTTAACTTCTGATTGGATAAATGGATTGCCACATTTGCTAATAACTTTAATAAACTGATTCCATTCACATTCAAATGAGCACAAATTTTTGATATCAACAGTGGTAAGTAAAAACCAGTTCCAACCGTCGGAGTTTCACTTACTGTATACTGCCTTCGTTTCAGTACCAACTGATGTCAACTATCATAATTTTGTCGCAGCTGAAGTGTCGTACTTATAATGTAAGACCATGCAATTATAACCGACAATATTTTAAACAGAGTGCTATGCACATACTAAACACTTTCATTAAGAGCAGCACTTTAAAATCCAATTATATATTGGCTGGTGATACGTTATTTTTTATGATATCGGGTAAAAAGGGGCAGCACATAAATCTTCAGGAAGTCCGATTTTCCATTTGAGATCATATAACTGCTTTAAAAAGAATACTATTTATAATATTTTTATTAGATAATAGTTCAAAAAAATTCACAATATTTTTATTGTATAATAGTTTAAAAATGAGAGTTGTTACTGTAAATATGTAACTTTTATTTATTTAACAGTTCTAAAGATTATTTACGCTTTTCTAACGCTGTTATAAAAATTTAGGAAGAAATGAATCAAGCTGCCAGTTAAATCCGAAAACGAATACGTACCTGTGTAAGGTTTACACGTTGGACGACAAAAATAAATTTTCTTCACACTTTCATTCTTGTTACAATTTTGTTTTCGTCAAAGCGTAAATAATCTTAATAGCTGTAAAATAAATATTGACGATATGCACTTACGGTAATGACTTTTTTATCTATACCCTTTCTGAAACAGGTAAAAATCGCAGTATTCTGTTGGGTAGATTATACAAAATTATTTATACAATTATTTATGATTTCTGTTTTTAGAATAAAGATTTCAGTTTCGATAAAAAAACAGGTTTTGTAATTATACTGAATGCTTTCGAGGAGAAACCATTTTATACTACTCATATGGTAAAACAGTGACTATTGACATTTTGGAAAATCATGGCTTTATATACCACGTATCTTTTTAACAACAATTAGCGTTTCTAAATTGCCTACAATGCTAAGAATAGTATCTAAAATTTTGTATTACGTCTATTTTTTCTTATGAAAAAAATATGTTAAATGCCACACTTTTTTCCTATCTATGAATCACTAATTGCAATAAGTGTACTTCATTGTTCTCCTGGTTTCAAGATATGGATAAAAGAGGTGGTACATTTTTAAACAGTAATCTGCTTTTAAAGTAATAGGAACGATGATTTATTGTGCGTCTAGCATACTTTTTCATTCATCAAATTATACTGTACGATTCGATTAAATAATATATTTTGGTATATTTTGGTATATTTTGTTTGTTATCGCAAGGTATAATAGGCCGAAAACGATAAAAGCAATTTCCCCAGACACCTCATTAATGGATTTTTCTGAACATTTACTACAAATACAGTCGTATTGAACACATTATGTGAACAAACGATTAGATTACTTTAACTTCCCAAAAATTATACAGTTTTGTACCAAAGTACAAGATTACAACAATGTTTATGGATAATCAAAATAATTAGAAACACGTAATATTTGTGTAAATATTAACAAACATTCTAAATAAAAATAATAGGAAACTAACCAATTATCGAATGAAATGAGATTATGTTATACAATCTGAAAATATTGAACAAAATGATACGAGTATCACAATAATTTATGCCTGATTTAACAACAGTAATACAACAAATAATACTGAATGCTTAATATACCAATTTCGATATCATGTAAATCATACTACGTTTTGATTAAACATATGATGTACAACTGACATTTTTCGAAATTTATTTTGACAATGGATTTTATAATAACTGCAACACGAACAAGTGGTATCCTTCAATGGTCCGTAAGATCTAGAAAATAATCAAAAACTATCATATTCGTTTCTTCAATTTTTGTAATATATATTTGTAATTCTCATTGCTTTATGAATGAGTTGGTAACTTTGTTACTGTCACAAAACATTTTGATACTACGTACACGTTTCTCATATTCTGAAATGAAACCTTTGCAGTTTGATCAATTTTCTCAAATGGAAAAATTAACTAAGTCTATTTTTATACATATAAGCACATCACACTAAAGAACACATTGTATGTTCGCAAACATGATACCTCGTATACTATTCTTATGAATCCACGCAATTAAGTGTCACGGGTAATAAATACGCCTATGATATGTACTAACCAATACAAGTACTATTTATATGACCTTATCTAATGCTTCGCGAACGGTGGTTTCGAATGCGTAGTCAAATGATAAATTCCCTTAGCATTCAAATCTGGTGTGGCACCACCCATGTAAACAGCATCGTTCGATTTGCATTTACCGAGCTTGTAATCAGTAAAATTGTCGCATTTCCGTGCTAGGAAACCTTTGTGGTTTATGGATTCCGCGAAGTACTCGTATGCTCGTGCATGAGGACATAATACAGGAAGGAAACAGCCCTTTTGATCCTTTCCTCCGTTAACATAAAAATCGGCATCGCCCATTTCAGCATGCGTGCCGAGTATGTGGTTTGTATGAATCACTTGCACGTGCTTTGCATCTTCTTTGGAAACTCTTGTACCTGGACCTTTGTTATAAAAATTAGGACCAGCAAGATCTAGGGCTGCAACAAGTACCAACTTTGGAGAATGTTTATTGAAATACTAAACTCTGCAGCAAGTGCATAATGTACTCGTGTACTCGTATGTAATCTAATGCACTATGTACTTGGTGAACATGGGAGAGTAGATTTGAGAGGTTAAATTTGTAAATTTCGGTAGAAACGTTTAAAATAAAGGTGAGCAGCACGAAAATCTAAAATCTATGACTTTTTGGATCTCTTTGACCACACTATATTACAGAATTCTTTAACTGTATACTGCAGTTTTGCTTGTGAACAGAAATATGTATATTTAGACTATATTAATCGTTGCTGTAATTTCAGTTTTTGAGCTGTACCACAATTGTCTGTGAAGTGCTGAAACGGTTGCCACTGAACATCGCTCTTACAGGTCTTGTTTATTTCAATAAATTTTCGGTAATCGAAGTGGCGTAAAATTGTTTTCTGAATACATATTTTTCAAAGAAGCTGCGCATATTTAAAGTCACGAAGTATGGACAATTATCTGACGTATAAGTTATAAAGTGTATAAGTTATCAAGAAAAATAAATTTGTATCTCACCATCTTTAGTAACAAAAATATGCATGTCTTCCGATAGAAAATTACATTTGTTCCGAATTTCTATTCCTGGCATTGTTTAGGTAAAATTATTTGAGGATATATCTACTCACCAACAACGTAATTCACTTTGTTCTTTGCGTAATAAGACGAGAGTCCAGCAATATGAGCACCGAGAGAATGACCTACTATCGTTGTTTTAGATAAATCCATTCCTTGCGATTCAAGAAAGTCGATCATGCTGGCAACGTATTTGGACATTTTTGGGACTCGATTGCTTAACCAAAAGTAGTCAGCTTTGCTTAGACCATTCCAGTCAATTAGGATGACATTATAATCGCCGTGTTTTAGATAAGCTATGAAGATTTATATAGATAATGTTTGTGAAACAAAATACTGAAAATGCAGAACTTCATTCAAAAATGTAATAATAGTAAATAGTTTTCGCTTTTCCTACCAGAACATACCATCGCGAACGTAGATGCATGCTTGGCTATAATGAGAGTTTCCCCATCCATGAGCGACGAATACTGTTGGTTTCTTCGGATCAAATTGACCGCGCTTCAAACTGTCAGTATCGCCAACGTATATTTGTATAGAATCGTTGCTTCTGTCTTTTGTGTATAGATAGAACAAGATGATATTCGGATAATTGGATTCCCTTAAATCAGCTACGGTATTAATTAAAGATATTTCTACTTTAACCACGTTGTTGTAGTCGTCCTTCCCATATAACTCCACTGTAGCACTATAACCAAAGCCGTCGTCCTCTATCACAGGTACACCTGCGAATAGTATTTTCGTTAATAGTATTAACAAAATTTTAGTAATCATTTACAAAGCGACATTACAAACATTATATTTTCGATTTTAATATAATCTTCTTGACAAATCTGCAGCAAGTATAAGTCATTCGGTTCGATTATTCTTGTCAACAATTCTTACATAACATTCAATTCTCCGATTTTCATAAATATTACATTGTTTTAGGTCTAATTTAGGTCTAAATTGAGTCTAATACAATTATTATATAATTGAAAAGTTTACTCTTGAATTTCAGGTTTAGATCAAAATATAGTTTGAAGATAGATTATTGAAGCGATAAGAAATGATGGTGTAATCATCATCTGATAAATCAGAAAAATTATTAGTTTACTTACTGTTGCTTCCAAAAATTTGAAATAGGTTTTATATCATGGCTTCTCACTTTTTGTATAAAAGTGAGGTGATTTAAATTTAACTTAATTACAAGGAAATTTTAATATAAGTTTAATTTAATTACAAGCTTGCATTGACATGAATTAAATTTAGTCATGAGGTTTAAGATTTCAATAAAGGAATATCTGAATTCGTGTGCAGAATGATTAGTATCAGTAATACTATTCTTACCCATAATACCACCTAGTAGTAACAGAACAATTTGGACGTGTACTTGCATGTCTGTTTCCGTTTTGCCGATAACTGCAAGCGGAACACGTTTATAAAGCAGTGAATTAAACCACTCAGAGCGTCTGTAATACAATGTTTCATTGTTGAGTATAAATTAGAGGTATCTATTGCACAATAATAAATGGACAATGATGTACCATTTTAAGAAACACTAAATTATCCCTACCGCATACCCATTTCATCCATAGTTTTCTTACGTGACCTTATTCATTACTGAATGTTTCAATAGGTATATCGTTAACTTGTAATAAGATTTTGATCTAATGATTTTTAATTATCCAAAATATAATTTTCGAATGTTAAAAATAAAAATTTTTATTGAATTATATACAAACTTATTTTAACAAATTACTGTAGGGAACACTGTAAAATTAGAGTGATACTTTAAGTTATAACGTCAGATCAGATTTATTTAATAAGTTTATATCGCGTTGTTAGATTAAAAAGTATGAAATTGATTTAGAGTTATTGTAATAGAATTTTAAAATAAAAACAACTTGTTGTAGTAATTATAAAATCTAATTATACATGAAGTGTAATTGTTACAAGAATTGTTAATACTTTAAGTTAAATTTAATTTTCATAATAAAGCTGAAAGCTTTCTTTAACTACCTAAATAGTTTATAAAGCAGAATGTCATTTTCTTATTAGATTGGATATGTATTCAAATATCGTCGTTAATTTTGAAATACTTTCAAGTAATTAGTAATTAGTTAGCTGTTCTCGAAGTAATGACACACGATGGCTTTTGCCCCATTGATCACCGAAATGTATAATAATATGAAATGATTTGACATACCTAGGAATTGGTATACCTCACTTGCTATCACTTGTTCGTATAATGGACGAACAGCAATATGATTTTAAAAGCAATTATGTAGATTGCTTAATTAATGGGTTTCCGTAAACGTTTACCGGAAATTACATAACAAGTTATATTGAATTATTATATAATCAAAAAATGCTTTATGTTTTCATAAGTTAGATCTGATTACTTTGCAGTAAGATGTCCATGCTATAAATTAAATTTACCATGTAAATATATTAATACAACTTCCAGATAATTTAGTGCAGTCACAATTTTTATTTTTAGATACTAAACGAGATTGCACGCAACTATCGTTCTGTTATTTTGTTTCAGAATATCTTTAATATACATTTCCAGTTCTTATCAACTCATAAATTTGGTTGTGGAACGAGAACATATCAGTTACCGATTTGTTACCATTTTTATTGTATGAATTGCTAGCTCATCATTTTTACGAATCAATGTATTTCACAACAGTTTTTCAAGTATATATAATTAATTATTATTGTAAAATTACACTGTATGTTATTGTACAAACTGTTCTAGTTTCTTACTATCACACCTTAATAGTACGTTTTGCGGATATGAATAAATGTATATTGTTACATAAATATAACTCCTTAGAAAGTAAAGTAAAAATGTTAACAGATAAGTGTAAATAAAGAGGAAGTTTTAATTACAGTTGTTAGCATACACAGTGAAATAAATCAACAATAATTGAATCTGACATGTGTAAGGTTATATTTGCTCTTTAAGGTGATTAAATACTACACGGATTTTGTATGTGACAATGTATCACGATGCCATTGTTCGTAAGCTAACAGTTAATGCGAATCCAATACACGTATCTGATCTAACACTTCATACAGTCAACAGAAACTTCATCTCGTACAAACTGCCATAACTATCCATATGTTTACAATATTAAATTACATGTCACCTTAACTTTCAAAATATATCTGTAATAATATGTATAAGTGATATGTATCTTACTTAAAAATTTATAATTTTCAATTAATACCGAATATTTCCGTATTTAAAAGTATGTGATAGAATTGCGTACTTACAATGAGGATTAAGATAAGGAAATTTAAATTAAAGAAATAACAATTCTCAATGTAATTTATAGATTTTACAGCTCTCAATGTATTAGATTTTATAGTTTTCATTAATTAGAAAAATTCATAAGTGTATTTTATTATTAGCTGATTCTTCATTTATAATTAGGAATTGCTAATGCTTGATGATATAAACGTGGGAATTCAATAAGTGGTAATTTAACGTGTGAAAATCTAATATATTGCGATTTAATGCGTCGTAATTTAACGCGTGATAATTTCACGTGAGATAATCTAATACGTGATGATTTAACGCGTGGTAATTTGATGCGTGATAATTTAACACATGATGATTCAACGCATTAGAATCCAGTATGTAGCGATTTAAAGCAAGACGATTCAACTCGTGGTGAATTAACCCGTGATCATTTAACAGGTGATGATATGACATGTGGTAATCTAACGTGCGACAATTTAACATGTAATGATTTAACACGTTGCTATATAACGCATGGTAACATAACATGTTGACTTAATATAGATCTCACTTAAAAAACCTAGTTAAATGTTCTATAGAGTCACTAGGAATAACACATCTACGCTGAATGTGTAAATATTAAATAAACAAACCGCTGAAATGAAACAACTTTCAAAAGTGATGATAAAAAAAAAATTGTTAGCCACTTACACTTTATAGGGCCAACCAGAAACATCGAAAAAATGCCGATCACGCTGTAAATAAAAAATGAAATAATTGAAAGGTGTAGTATCATGTCCAATCCGACTTTGCTGATAGCCTCTGGCGAAGGCTTTCAAAAGCAATGAATTGAATCGATGAAAGCTTCTGCAAGACAAAGTTGCATAATCCTGCATATTAACGATAATGGATCGAAAGTAAAGTAGTATTGGAATTGGTGGCATAATTGAACGAAGAAAAAAACATTTTTGCATAAAGCTATAATTTATTGTTCTTCTGTTGACATAAATGATTCTTTTGATTGTGAACCACTAATTAGGAAACTAACACATACTTGCAAAAGTGATTCTTTTCATACTAGTGATATGAATCTGTACAAATAACTGTCATATGCAATAAATACATTTATGGTAGTAAGTACTGCAAGTCTAATACTTTTTTCGTGACAACATACAACCGTTATCTAATACTTTGCGAACGGTGGTTTCGAGTGCGTAGTCAAGTGATAAATTCCCTTAGCATTCAAATCTGGTACGGCGCCACCCATATAAGCAGCTTCGTTCGATTCGCATTTACCGAGCTTGTAATCAGTAAAATTGTCGCATTTCCGTGCTAGGAAACCTTTGTAATTTATGGATTCGGCGAAGTACTCGTAAGCTCGTACACGAGGACATAATACAGGAAGGAAACAGCCGCTTCCATCTTTTCCGCCATTAACATAAAAATCGGCATCGCCGAGTGCAGCATACATGCCGAGTATGTGGTTTGTATGAATCACTTGCACGTGCTTTGCATCTTCTTTGGAAACTCTTGTACCTGGACCTTTGTCATAAAATTGGAAGCAGCAGGATCTAGGGCTGCAACAAGTACCAACTTTGGAGAATGTTTATTGAAATACTAAACTCTGCAGCAAGTGCATAATGTACTCGTGTACTCGTATGTAATCTAATGCACTATGTACTTGGTGAACATGGGAGAGTAGATTTGAGAGGTTAAATTTGTAAATTTCGGTAGAAACGTTTAAAATAAAGGTGAGCAGCACGAAAATCTAAAATCTATGACTTTTTGGATCTCTTTGACCACACTATATTACAGAATTCTTTAACTGTATACTGCAGTTTTGCTTGTGAACAGAAATATGTATATTTAGACTATATTAATCGTTGCTGTAATTTCAGTTTTTGAGCTGTACCACAATTGTCTGTGAAGTGCTGAAACGGTTGCCACTGAACATCGCTCTTACAGGTCTTGTTTATTTCAATAAATTTTCGGTAATCGAAGTGGCGTAAAATTGTTTTCTGAATACATATTTTTCAAAGAAGCTGCGCATATTTAAAGTCACGAAGTATGGACAATTATCTGACGTATAAGTTATAAAGAAAAATAAATTTGTTTTTCACCATCTGTAGTAACAAAAATATACATGTCTTCCGATAGAAAATTACATTTGTTCCGAATTTCTATTCCTGGCATTGTTTAGGTAAAATTATTTGAGGATATATCTACTCACCAACAACGTAATTCACTTTGTTCTTTGCGTAATAAGACGAGAGTCCAGCAATATGAGCACCGAGAGAATGACCTACTATCGTTGTTTTAGATAATCGTTGTCTTAGATAAATCCATTCCTTGCGTTTCAAGAAAGTCGATCATGCTGGCAACGTATTTGGACATTTTTGGGACTCGATTGCTTACCCAAAAGTATTCAGCTGTGCTTAGACCCTTCCAGTCAATTAGGATTATATTATATTCACCGTGTTCAAAATAAGCTGTAAAGTTTGAGGTAGATTACGTTTACGAGGTTAAAAATCTCGCACCTTCTGTGCATTTAAAAAGTGCAAGATCATCTTATAAAAATTTAATTTCTATCTGTGAATAACAGTGGATGTTGTTTAGAAATGTAGCTAGTTATGCCATTATTGAAGTGATTAGCAATGAGAAGTGAAGTGATGCTAATGCGATTTCTTTTTCAAGCACTATCCAGCATAATTGATTCTACAGCAGGGAAGGGCAAGGATAAAAGTAGCTGCGTAATGAAAGTAGCACGCCCTTTTCCCGCTTTTGCAAACAGTTTGAGACGATTAGTTTTTCATAATTTCACACTTTCAGCTAGTTATTCGTTCTATTTTTCGTTACTTAAATGCACGGGTATCATTTTTATTGTCACGTAAAGTATAATATTTTAATTTATGTATCTCCTTTTATTGTTTCTTGTATAAAAAATTCTGTTCTTTGCTGGTCAAAGTATGTTTACTTAATTCTCCACAAAGTGGTTAATGTTGCTTTCGTCCTGATCAGGAGGAAGGCAACAGTAATAGTAATTGCGGAAAAATATCATAGCGTTGTTACTACTTATCACACAGACGCAAATCTAGGTCTAGTGGTAAGTCTGTAAACATACTTTCGTATGGTATAGTTCTATTTCTATATTTCTGAAAGACGATTGGCAAATTGGCCGAATGTGGAAAATGTTACTCTTGCCTCTGCTCTGCCATATGTTGTAGACAACTGTATAACTAGCGAGGAGGAGGCTGATCCAAGGGGGTGCCTGAGCTACGGTCAAAATCGATCAAAAAAGAAAAACAGACACTTTATATATATTTTTAACAGTATAAATTATTGGCTTGAGCGGTCATATAAAAAATAGAGCCAAAGAACAAAGACAATCAGCAAAAATTTCTTGTAGCCACCTCGAATATTAGAGCGTTAAATTAGCACTTTTCAAGGTAGGGTGGCGGTGCATACCTTAACCCCTTCCCGTGCCATTTAATCAACAGATACGTCAGTCAAGACTAACTATTCAGGGCTATAACATTAAAACGAACAAAGAAAATTAAAATGTAACTATTTTATATCCAAGGATCCTTGATAACGTAACTTATAGCTGGACTTAAATTTCAAGTTGAAGAGTGTTCAAAATTTGAGTAAGGTTTGTCACATTTGCGCTATAAGTGCGACACGAGTGAGACTCGTCAAAGTACGGGAAGAGGTTAACCTTAGGTTAGTCTCCGCTACAGTTATACAGTTGTCTATAATATTAGAGTATAGCGAAATTTACCATTGCGAATGTATTCGCATATTCGGCTGAGATAAGAGTTTGCCCATCCATGGATGATAAACACTGTTGGTTTCTCCGGATCAAATTGACCGCGTCTTACACTGTCAGTGTCCCCAACGTATATTTGTACAGAATCGTTGCATCTATCGTTCGTATACAGATAAAACAAAATGAGATTCGGATAATTATTTTCGCTTAAGTCTTGCATGGTATTAACTACATATACATGTTCGCTGACCATATTCTGGTAACTGTCTTTCTTATACACCTCCACCATAAGAGCAAAACCTACGCGGTCTTTGCGTGACACAGAAACACCTACAAATAATATTATCTTATTGAATATTAGTAATTAATCATAAAAGGATATGTTATCGATTTTGATATATTTTTTCCTGATGAATCTGCAACGAAAGTAAATCAGCAAAATCAACTATATTTGTCAATATTCTTTAAGTGACATTCAATTTTTCGATTTCGGTAAATATTAAAAAGTTTTGAGTCTTGTTTCGTTTAAAATCTGAGGATTTGAACTTTGTTTGCTGTGTTTAGTCTTCAATTTAAGGTTTAGATCAAAACATAGCTTGAAGATTATTGAAACGATAAGAAATGATGATGTAATCATCATTTGATGAATCAGAAAAATTGTTAGTTTACTTATTGTTGCTTCCAAAAATTTGAAATAGATTTTACATCATAGCTTCTCATTTTTTGTATAAAAGTGAGGTGATTTAAATTTAACTTGATTACAAAGAGATTCTAATATAAATTTAATGTAATTACAAGCTTGCATTGACCCAAATTAAATTTAGTTATGAGGTTTAAGATTTCAATAAAGGAATGTCTGAATCAGTCTGCAGAATGATTAGTATCAGTAATACTGTTCTTACCCATAATACCACCTAGTAGTAACAGAACAATTTGAACGTGTACTTGCATGCCTGTTTCCGTTTTGCCGATAACTGCAAGCGGAACACGTTTATAAAGCAGTGAATTAAACCAATCAGAGCGTCTGTAATACAATGTTACGTTGTTGAGTATAAATTAGAGGCAGCTATTGCACAATAATAAATGGGCAATGATGTACCATTTTAAGAAACACTACATTATCCTTTAACGCATACCCATTTCATCCATAGTTTTCTTACGTGACCTTATTTATTACTGAATGTTTCAGTAGGTATATCATTAATTTGTAATAAGATTTTGATGCAATGATTTTCATTTTTCCGAAATATAATTTTCGAATGTTAAAAATAATAATTTTTATTGAATTATATACAAACTTATTTTAACAAATTACTGTAGGGAACACTGTAAAATTAGAGTGATACTTTAAGTTATAACGTCAGATCAGATTTATTTAATAAGTTTGTATCGCGTTGTTAGATTAAAAAGTATGAAATTGATTTAGAGTTATTGTAATAGAATTTTAAAATAAAAACAACTTACTGTAGTAATTATAAAATTTAATTATACATGAAGTGTAATTGTTACAAGAATTGTTAATACTTTAAGTTAAATTTAATTTTCATAATAAAGCTAAAAGCTTTCTTTAACTACCTATATAGTTTATAAAGCAGAATGTCATTTTCTTACTAGATTGGATATGTATACAAATATCGTCGTTAATTTTGAAATACTTTTGTGGCGGTTTCACTCCCACGCTCATCGCCACTAGACGGCGCATAGAATCGAGACCTAAGCTTTCTCGCTAGTACTCAAAGAGCCTTCCTATTCATATATATAGTTCCTGTCCATCCGTTTCTTACATCCCCGCGTCTAAGGCAAGGGCCTGTTAGAACGCCTTACTGATGAGTCCACTAGCATGCCCCGGACGAAACGTTCTCCCTCTCCTTTACTTTTCCTAGCTCCCTACCATAGCTACCTCAACCGCCAAACTTTTTCAAGTAATTAGTAAAATTAGTTAGTTGTTACTCAAAGCAATGACACACGATGGATTTTGCCGCATTGATCACCAAAATGTAATATGAAATGATTTGACATACCTAGAAATTGGTATACCTCACTTGCTATCACTTGTTAGTATAATGGACGAACAGCAATAAGATTTTAAAAGCAATTGTGTAAATTGCTTAATTAATGGGTTTCCGTAAACGTTTGCCGGAAAATATATAACAAGTCATATTGAATGATAATTTAATCAAAATGCTTTATGTTTTCATAAGCTAGATCTGATTACTTTGCAGTAAGGTCTCTATGCTATAGATTAAATTTGCGTTAATTATCTATGATTTCTACAAAATAAGTACGTTTAGATACGCATAGAATTTGCACAAATATTAACGGAAATTATAAATTATATTTGCGAAAAGAAAAGAAATTCACCACTTACGGATTACGACATCACATCTGAATAGACCATCACTCATATTTATAATATATACAGGTACATAAGCAAGCAAATTTATCTAGCAGTAAAGTATAGAAGTTTGTTCGCTTATTTCTACCTTTAAGATTTCAAAAGCAGTACACGTTGATGTAATGATAGTAGGATCCCTCTACCGGTTAGCGAGATACCTCACAATGAAATTTTTACTAGATGTGACTGTGTTGGTTAATAAAAAATATACATACATAATTATGATATGCTCATTTTATTAGTTAATTTTTCATTTCCAAATACACACATTTTTTATGTATCTGTAATTTTAGCAACTAATTAGAGCGACTAGTTTCATAAAGATTTCTATATGCTGCCCTTTCCGTAAAGTGATTTCGAATTTGTGTTCAAGAAATATTTTCCTGTAACGTTCGAATTCAGTTCGGCGCCACCCATGTAAGCGATATCATTGGAATTGCATAACCCAAGTTCGAATTCAACGTAGTTATCGCACTTTCGAGCCGGAAAATCGTTGTACAATATGGATTCAGCAAAGTATTCGTAAGCTCGTCCATGGCCACACACCTCACCATTTGTGCAGCCAGCTTGAAGTATGGCACCGTTAGGGTAAAAGTCAGCATGACCCAATTCATTACACAAGCCGATGGTACAGGTTGTGTGGATTATTAATACATATTCTCCATCCAGTTCGGAGATCCTCCCGCGTTCATCTTTCAAGGTGAAGAGGGGACCCGCAGGATCCAAGCCTGTAAAAAATAGCATTGTTAAAACAGATTTATTTACGAAATTCATAATTAAATATTTTCTTATTACTTTAGTGTCTGTGTAATGTAATGTTCCTGATTTGAACGAGTTTTAGAAACAATGACTGTTTATTGTAAATAATTTTTAGGTAGCAAGATTTGGCAACTCACTGCTATTTATGAAGTATTTTGAAATTATTTGATAGAAATCTTGTCGCACGACAAACTCTAGTTTGCATCCTTTAAAAATATTCCTTCACAAAATATACGTATTATTGGAAGTATGCTTACCGACAATGTACCCCGCTCGTTCCGTGGCATAGTAAGATGAAAGACCCGCTATATGAGCACCTAATGAATGACCCACTACAGTCACATTATCTGCATCCACACCTTGCGAATAGAGAAAATTGAGAAATGTAGAGATGTGCTGGGCAATTTTTGGAAGCTCTTGGCTTAAAAATACGTAATCGTAGTAGGCCAACTGACTCCAGTCGATTACGATGATGTTGTAATTGCCATGTTTAAGGTAAGCTGCAAAATACAGAATACGTTAAATCCATGAAATAAAGTAGGTGTTATAACTTAATAACTCTGGTAAGATAAAGAATGAAAATATTTTGTACTGAAAGCGTTGTTTGAGGACACAGTAAAATTAATCAAACACTTATTTCTTTTATGCAAGTCAGAAATGAGTAAGAATTTCAACACTTTATGGCGATGTTTTGTGATGGTTTAACATGTAGTAATTTAACGGGTGACAGGTTTAACATGTGGTGATCTAACGTGTGACAATTTTAATGCGTTGTGATCTGATGAATAGCGATTCAGATAGAGAAATTCAACCGACAATATAACAAAAATTAACAATACAATGATAGAGTGTTAAGGATGATGTTGAATCGTAAATGTAAGAAAAACATACCATCCCGAACCAAAGTGCATGCACTTGCATTGTAAGAACTTCTCCATCCATGAGTGGCGACTTTGGTTGGTCTGCTCAGATCAAAATGGCTGCTATTGAAAGCCTCGGTATCGTTAATATACAATCTTTCAGCATCGGTGCCTGTTTCGTTTGTATATAGATAAAAATTGACGAGGTCCTGTAAGTCTTCTACGACTAGAGATCTTCCAGAGCCAATTAAGCTCAAATCTATTTTCACTATTTCGCCGTGCTCGTCTTCTATGTAAATGTCCGGTTGAGTATGCGTCACATTCGCGATAGCGCCTATTGCCTTTCCTATAGCTTCTGCGATAAACATTTACAGCATCGAGTTAGTAACAACTATTAAATAAGAATTGTAATAGCCATTAAATTCAAGCGAAACCTTGATAAAATATTAGTCAGCAATATAAACTTCGTTAAATTAACTAAGCATTTTGTGTACGATTGATAAGACTGTGAATAATATTTATGGCAATTGCAACTGGTATGGCAATTGTCTCCGAACGCAAGTAAAATCTTGACGGTTGGAAAATTCCCTAAGAGAACCAAGTCTTTGTTTATAGGGTTAGGTAACCTTCGGCAATTAAACGTCCTCGATAAATTATGAAAATTACGTGTTGCGTGATATTTGTATAGCAATAAATCTAAATTTATCAGCAGCTGCAAGTTGTTAATGATATGTAAATTAGATATAAGCCAAATCAGTTTTCTCCCGTCAAAAGTGATATTATGGAATCTATCATATTTTTGTTTACACTAATATATTTTTAATACTAATACTAATATACTAATATGTATATATTTTATTAACTTTCAGAGAATAGAATCGGTGTATTTTAGATCTTGAACAAAATAACAATAGAAATCTTAGGTTATTAATATAACCGATATTTCTACATACTTTTACGAAACTCTAGCTTTACTAAATGTAAAATATGTAACCAATTCAAGATAAAACATATTCAAAGTCATTTTAATAAATATGCATAGAAAGTAACATTTCTATTGAAATGTTCAAAAAGAATTGTATAAATAAAATGTAATAAATGCAAACATTCGGCACGTGGAAATAAAGTATATGTTAATTTACCAAATTTACAATAAATAATTATTAAAAATTTAAGCGGTACTTGACACGTGATAAAATAATATGTAGTATTGTTTCTACTGTGCAACAACACATTACTTAACGGTACAACGCATGAGAATATAACGCCTGGCTGCATTGCGTAGCGATGTAGCTCGAGGTCATATAACACGTAGGAATTTAACGCGCGAGAATACAACGCGTGATATTCAATCGCGATCCAATACGTGACTATATGTATAATACGTACGAATTTGACATTTGGCCATATAACACGTGGCGATATATCAAGTGGGATTTTAACACCTGAAAAAATAATGTGCAGCTGCAATGGCTATATGTATAATGCAATATAACGCGTAGCGATCCAAAGCTTAACACGTGGTGATCTAATATCTCCTCCAAACTAAAAACCTAGTTAAACTAATATTCCTATAGGGTAACTGAAAATAAAACTCTTCTAGTAACTCTTCGTAAATGTATACGATAAAATTTTAAGAGTTACGAGTAGAAAAATGAAATTGTAAGAAACTTACTCTCGAAAGGCTGGAGCAGATTGAAAGGCGAACTAACCGCGTTGCCAATGAGCAACAAAACAATTGCAGCGTGTAGCTTCATGTTCAGTCCGATTTTGCTGATAACTTACAGTACGGGCTCGTTTATAAAGCGATGGATCGAATCGATGGAACCTTCCGTAAGACAAAGTTACATTGTGCTACACCAATTACCGATAATGAATCGAAAATAATATAGCATTGCAACAGTTGGTATATTTGATCAATGAAAAGCACATGTTTGCATAAAGCCATAATTTATTGTTCACTCATTGACGTTGTAAATAATTCGCTTGACAGTGAACCGCTAATTAAAAAACATGTGTTAAGTGTCAACGGAGTATTGAAAGTGAATAAAAGTAATTACACATTGTGACGTAGCATCTCTTCTGATGTTGCAACAATCACCTTAGTATTGCAATGTTTAGATTGTACAATGTTTTGCTTAGACAGAGGAATTGTTAGATACTTGCAGAATTTCTGATCTGAAAATTTCAAGTTTGAGTTCATTGAGATTTAAAGATCAATTCGAGAATGTGTGTTCATAAAAACTGTTTAAATAAATTTTAAACGAATTTGAACATTTATTAACTGAGAGGTTTATAAAATTAGTGTCGAGTTTTCAAGTTTGGAAATTTGAAAATTTCTAATTTTCTCGATGCTAGGATTTATACATTAAGATATCAAAAATTTAAGAGTGCAGTCTAATAGTGATTACAAAATGAAGAATAAATTATTATTCATGAGAAACAAATAATGTAATTTGGTTCGGTGCTAAATAAAGAAGTTCAAATCATTTGTTGTTCTAAAGGATAAGTGAATTTTTCTTGATAAGTCATTAGGATATTAATTATAAATTTAATGCGAATAATATTCTAATACCAAAATAGTCTACTTTAAAATATTCGAATACACACATATTTTGTTCACAAGTTTTCGAACTTTAAGTCATCAAATACGTAAATACTCAAATTCGGAATATTCTAAATTTTTTTTTAGTAAAAGCAATGCAAACAAAAATAAATATCGAATAATGTACTGACTTGTGTGCGTTCAACCACTGCGTCTTCGATTAAAAAATGGTCAAATCTTGTAATCGGCGGTGAATTCTAATCGAGACGCGGGTTTATTCGAAAGAAATTAATCTTAAGAATAATGATTTAAGATAGATCGCCCGTAACTGTTGACGTGTGTAACTATAAGTCCGGAAAGTTGACTTGTTATAAATTTTACGTCCGAAATGGTTGACGTGTATGTTTAATTCTTCTACGTTGTGTCCGAAACGGTTGACTTGTAGATTCTAGGTTCGAAACGATTGACCTTTTTATGAATTAAATTCTAGGAAGCGAATGACCTTTGTATTAATTCTGACTCTAGGTCCCAAGTGAATGTATTAATTCTAACGATACGTTTTCATCTTGACATCGAAACGTCGGAAGTTTAAGAAATGCTGATTGGTTCTCATTAGAAACCTTGATTTTCCAATCAGCATTGGCCTCTTGACGTTGGGCCCACCCTCTCTTGAGCCCTGAGCGCGCCTTTTTCGGAAGAGGGTGGAAATACCGATGAATACGGGAGGATCTTGATTGATTGATTAATTGATTTTATATGGGCCTCGACTACTATGATCATTGGCCCAAAGGGAAGATCTTGAAGATCGGCAACGCCGAGGTTTTTCCTCCAGGTGACACGTTATCCTAAAAAGTACTGCTACGAAAGGACCGAAACCCTCGGTGACCTTTCAGAAAACCCCCGTTTATGATAGAGTAGTTATTGAAGACGAAATTAGAGTTATAAATTCTAAAGTCATTTTTCACAAAAATGTAAAACTAAATTGCCTAAAATTGACTAAAATCTGTCTTTCAAAAATAACTGTTAGTCCGGACTCATCATAAACTACCTACGAAATCCCCACGTATTGTGTTCCGTCGCACGTTCAAATAAAGCCTCTTCATACAACAGATTAATCGCAAAAAGAAATAAGTGAAATAATAAATAGACTAATTAGGATAAATTATTTATTGTAATAATTAACATTATTTCCGTATAATAAAAAAAGTCTGTGTTTTCAATATTTTTCATTAATGTATTAATCATAGGATATTTATTTCACGTGCAGATAGAGATGAAGGAAATAAAATAAAAGCAATTAACACGGTTTATTTAATACCAACCTTTTTCAACGATTGGCAGACTTTAATTCATTTATTTTAATACGTAGCGTTACGCGGCGCACGTAATCCCCTCAGGGGTGCGAAATAAATGCTTGAAAAGAAAAATCTCGGAGTTATAGGTTTAAGAGACGGAAACCTGTTGTGCTGGTCAACTCTTGGCGTTCTTTTTCTTTTGCTCGTAGCATGTTCTCACCCCCAACGAAGCCTTTCCTTTCTCAGACAGAATCAAACAGGTTTGCGCCGATGTTTCAGGGGTTAAAAACCAGTATCCTTTGAACCTTTTTCTCTCTATTTACTACTGCTTTCCATATTAACTGTGAGCGCTTCGATTTATCTTCTATGCCTCTTTTTCTAATAGATTGCTTACTTTCCACGTTTTATATACGAATGCAGCCATGCTTCTGATTAAGGCAAGAAATAAATTTATTTTCTTCACTTGATTCTTTAGATTCTTCAGTTTTTTTACATTATTAATATATTATTGACTTATGTATTGTGATTAATGAGTTATTATCTTTGTGATGGTGAACATCATCATTTTTTATAGTATTTCATTAAACGAGAGTTAATATTTTTATTGGAAATTATCTCGTTTCTGAAATTCTAAATTTCTAAATGACTGAATCTGTTAATTTTTCAATTTCTCAATTTCTCAATTTCTCAATTCCTAAATTTCTAAATTCCTAAATCCCTAAATTCCTAAATTCCTAAATTCCTAAATTCTCAAATGCCTAAATTTCTAAATTCCCAAATTCCTAAATTCTTAAATGCCTAAATTTCTAAATTCCCAAATCCCTAAGTGTACAACATTTCTAAACTACCCAATCCCTAAATTTTCAAATTTTTTAATTCCTGAAATATTGAATATTTCAATTTCTAAATTTCCAAATTCCTAAATTTCCTAAATTGCTAAAAACTTTCTAAATTTCTGAATTTAACTTTTAAATTGGAATAAAGTAGTGTTAGAATTATATTACTATCCCAAGTAATTTACTTCCTTTTTGGAAAGAAACATTAATTTACAAAGAAAATACAAGAAAATAGAAAGAATGTTACTAAAATTTTTGTTAATATTTAGAAAATTGCTGTCATTTGTAAAGAGATAACGATTATTCTTGTTTACGATTCTAAACGCAATTACCTTTTGTTAAATTTACTATTACTCTATGACTACTATGTAATTATTTAATCATTATAATTATTCTTATCTTGTGTCTACGAATATTTCATTACTTACGTTATATTTTTATTTTCAACTGCTGATTCTTTACAAAACAACCTAACCACTTTCTGTTCAGGATTTATCATTGTTTAATAAGAAATTAATAATTTATTTATTTAATTTATTTCATAACGTTGATCATAACATTACTCCATGAAAATCTTCTTCGTCAAAAATATAAATATTTCACTATTTTATATTACAATCTCTTTATACTATTTTAAATATCTCTTTCTGTATATTTATACCATTTATCATCTTATCTGAATGTATCATTTTCTCTTCTAGATTTCTTTACTATTATTATATTCCGATTATGCAATATAATTATCAATACTCCTTTAAACTGTAATTAACGCAAAATATTTTTCTTCAAAAACAAATTATTTTAACATCAATCTCTTTTTAATGCCGCTCATTCAATTGCTAAAGTTTATATTACTAGTTGCATTCTATGACAATTTTCTGTAATAAAGTGCAGTGACAACTCCAAATCACATTTCATTGATAAATTGTAAAAAAACCCCGATTCGAATGTATTCGTTTCCATACCAGGAAATACAATTTTACTCTTGCTTTCCCGCTTTCGCTGCTCCGTCACGGGTATCCATCATAAAATGGAAAAAAGTGAGGCGCTGTCGTTACTTTCTACCTCGCGATAAACTAACTTCGAATCACTTAACCTCTCTACGTTTTCCCATTACCTGTACACGTTTGCGACCTGAACTCATAGGTGCAACAATTATCTCTAAGTGAACATAAGATCCCACAAAACAGACTCATGAATTCAATCAAGAAAAACAAACGTATCAATAAACTTATCAATCAATTTCATCCTAGATCACGTACGTTCTTAAATAAATAAAATGGCGATATTACTTAGAAACCGAAAAAAAAAATCGCCTTGAAAATTCTTTCTAGCGACAGTCAGCGAAAAAATCGAATTTTTTTAGCCGGCGAAAAAAATGAAAGAAATTCGACTTTTTTCGTCGGGGTATGGATGATCGATGCGAAATCACTCTTAGACACGGCGAAGACACAGCGTTCAGGGTGCGGGCGCTTGCGTGAAGCACGAAAATGAGGGGGTTGGGGATGTTGGGACGTCCAGGGGGGTGAGTTTGGGGATTGTGAAAGCGAGGGCGCCTGCAGTGACTAGCCTCCATCGATTTACCGTGAGCCGCCATCTTGCCACCCTTCGCTACGGGGGTTGACCACCCCCTCCCCCTCGTTCGTCGGTGCCGACCACCCACCCGCCACCGCCACCCCCCTCGAGGCAGAGGCAGACATTTTGAAAAATGATTCCGAAAGTCATCGTGGCTCGGTAGGTCGTTTTTCAGCCCCGA